GATGTGCTATTGTTTTTAATTGATTTTATTTGTATATTTAACCTATTCTTGACTCTGTGGTTCTTGCACTTGTTTGGGGAACAGGATTTCATTATTTTTATCTACATTTCTGCCTGAGAAATGACACCCTGATATAGTTCTGTGATCTGTGATATACTTCTGTGAATCACTGAGGCATTGTGTGTTTGTGTGTTCTTTGTCCTCAGAACTTTCAAATAACTTGAGGTGTTTTATGATTAATAGTGATGTTGTGCTTTTGGACACTGTCCTCAGGCTCCAGCTTTATGTTTATATGTTTTTATGTTGATGTGCTATTGTTTTTAATTGATTTTATTTTATTTGTATATTTAACCTATTCTTGACTCTGTGGTTCTTGCACTTGTTTGGGGAACAGGATTTCATTATTTTTATCTACATTTCTGCCTGAGAAATTACACCCTGATATAGTTCTGTGATCTGTGAAACAGTTCTGTTAATCACTGAGGCATTGTGTGTTTGTGTGTTCTTTGTCCTCAGAACTTTCAAATAACTTGAGGTGTTTTATGATTAATAGTGATGTTGTGCTTTTGGACACTGTCCTCAGGCTCCAGCTTTATGTTTATATGTTTTTATGTTGATGTACTATTGTTTTTAATTGATTTTATTTGTATATTTAACCTATTCTTGACTCTGTGGTTCTTGCACTTGTTTGGGGAACAGGATTTCATTATTTTTATCTACATTTCTGCCTGAGAAATGACACCCTGATATAGTTCTGTGATCTGTGAAACAGTTCTGTTAATCACTGAGGCATTGTGTGTTTGTGTGTTCTTTTTCTTTAGAATTTTCAAATAAACTTGACGTGTTTTATGATTAATAGTGATGTTGTGCTTGTACTATTTTGGACACACTGTCCTCAGGCTCCAGCTTTATGTTGATCGTATTAAAACAAAGAAAACAATCTGAAGTTGTTGTTTTTAAGTTATATATACCATGATTTTTCCGGTCCGGCCCACTTGGGAATAGATTTTCCTCCATGTGGCCCCTGAGCTAAAATGAGTTTGACACCCCTGGGCTAAGGTGTATGTAAACTTCAGACTTCAACTGTAAGCAGACAATGAAAGCTCTTACAGTATTAGATGATTACATTTCTCTAAAACAGGCTATAGGCTACATGTGCACCACCAAGTCAGAACAGTAGGCTAAGCTATGAGGGGGAAAGAGACCAAATGATTAGGGTGAGGCACATGGGCTACTAACAGCTTACTACACAACATACACTTAGTATTACTTTCTTAGCTACAGTATACGTATCTCCCTGGCATAGTACATTTTTGGACTCACCTTGTTGTGCTGTGCTCACTTGAACAGGAAGGTGGCGCGGCGATCCTTGTAGGCTAATTTTGTCATCAAACTTTATCATCAAAGTCTGCCAGTCTTGGAATTCCGAGTTGGATGACTGTTCAAAACGTATTTTCCCAGTCGGAGCTAGTTTTTTTCCTAGTTCCCAGCGGTCTTGAACTCACTGAAGTCTGAGATTTCCTAGTTCCGAGTTTCCAGTTTTCTTGAACGCGGCAGAAGTCATGCTGGATTGACAGCAAGGCCAATGTATTCAACCTTTTCTGGCCCGTGGTGTTGCATGTGAATGTTTATCCTTTTAAGCTTGGAAAAGAGGCCCTTAAACCCAGACTTGGACCACACATCCTCTCCACTGAATAGCAGGCTAGTGATTGCTTTGCAACGCTTGCATTTAGCCATTGATTCCAAACAACTCATTGTTGAATTTGCGATTTCCAACTTGTTGTGTAATGTTTATGTCCAATGGCCGATGTGCACCGATACGTTTTATCTATAATTTCTCTTCATATGACAAGGATTTACCAGTAGATGGGCTTTGACCAAAATGGTGTTTGACCAGATACAATGCTATTTTACAGTAAACAAATTGACAACAAATTTTCAGCACGCTTATAGGGAAGGACATTCAACAAGCACAGCACTTACACAAATGACTGATGATTGGCTGAGAGAAATTGATGATAAAATGATTGTGGGGGCTGCCTTGTTAGACTTCAGTGCAGCTTTTGACATTATCGATTATAGTCTGCAGCTGGAAAAACGTATGTGTAATGGCTTTACACCCCCTGCTATATTGTGGATCGAGAGCTACCCGTCTAACAGAACACAGAGGGTGTTCTTTAATGGAAGCCTCTCCAACATAATCCAGGTAGAATCAGGAATTACCCAGGGCAGCTGTACAGGCCCATTACTTTCTTCAACCTTAACTAATGACATGCCATTGGCTTTGAGTAAAGCCAGTGTGTCTATGTAGGTGGATGACTCAACACTAAACATCAGCTACTACAGCGACTGAAATGACTGCAACACTTAACAAAGAGCTGCAGTTAGTTTCAGAATGGGTGGCAAGGAATAAGTTAGCCTAAATATTTCAAAAACTATAAGCATTGTATTTGGGACAAATCATTCACTAAACCCTAAACCTCAACTAAATCTTGTAATAAATCATGTGGAAATTGAGCAAGTTGAGGAGACTAAATTGCTTGGAGTAACCCTGGATTGTAAACTGTCCTGGTCAAAACATATTGATACAACAGTAGCTAAGATGGGGAGAAGTCTGTCCATAATAAAGCGCTGCTCTACCTTCTTAACAGCACTATCAACAAGGCAGGTCCTACAGGCCCTAGTTTTGTCGCACCTGGACTACTGGTCAGTCGTGTGGTCAGGTGCCACAAAGAGAGACTTGGGAAAATTGCAGTTGGCTCAGAATAGGGCAACACGGCTGGCCCTTGGATGTACACAGAGAGCTAACATTAATAATATGCATGTCAATCTCTCCTGGCTCAAAGTGGAGGAGAGATTGACTTCATCACTACTTGTATTTATGAGAGGTATTGACATGTTGAATGCACCAAGCTGTCTGTTTGAACTACTGGCGCACAGCTCGGACACCCATGCATACCCCACAAGACATGCCACCAGAGGTCTCTTCACAGTCCCCAAGTCCAGAACAGACTATGGGAGGCGCACAGTACTACATAGAGCCATGACTACATGGAACTCTATTCCACATCAAGTAACTGATGAAAGTAGTAAAATTAGATTAAAAAAAACAGATAAAAATACACCTTATGGAACAGCGGGGACTGTGAAGCAACACAAACATAGACACAGACACATGCACACACACACACGATAACATACGCACTATACACACACGTACACATGGATTTTGTGTTGTAGATATGTGGTAGTGGAGTAGGGGCCTGAGGGAACACAGTTAATATGTTGTGAAATCTGTGAATGTATTGTCGTGTTTTTTTAAATTGTATAACTGCCTTAATTGTGCTGGACCCCAGGAAGAGTAGCTGCTGCCTTGGCAGGAACTAATGGGGATCCATAATAAATACAAATACACATATCTGTAGTGTGTGATCTCAGTAGTTAGTGTGTGATCTCTACTGTGTGATCTCTAGTGTGTGATCTCTAGTGTGTGATCTCAGTAGTTAGTGTGTGATCTCAGTAGTTAGTGTGTTATCTCTAGTGTGTGATCTCGTGTGTGATCTCAGTAGTTAGTGTGTGATCTCTGCAGCGTGTGATGTCTGCAGTTAGTTAGTGTGATCTCCAGTGTGTGATCTCCAGTGTGCGATCTCTGTAGTATGTAAAGAACCACATTGAGCTTGACAGAGATCCTTAAAGACATCTTTATTGTGGATCAAAATACTGTCTTACAACACTTTAAAGCCCTTTAACAGACAAGGTTATTTTTGTTCTGGAATACTGAGTAACAAAGCTAAAGAGCGGGCGGGGGTTAGAACATTTAGCAGGAACACAAAGCTACATTTGTTCTTTATTCTCTGTTCAACACCTCTATTCAATTTAACATTACAGTTAGTCCTGTTCTTATTCAACACTAGTATCAGGACATCACCTACTACAGTTATTCATAATACTAGTGACATGGACATATTAACACTATAGTTATTAATACTTTGATGCTAGTCAATATGCAGTAAGATGCAGTTATAACTGGGTCAGTCAGTCACTGCAGTGGTGCTAGTTACACCTTTAAAACAAGCAGTGTGTGATGTTATTGGGGACGGCTAATCTGGGTGTTTTACTATCATTACTAACGTACTATTCATGTGTTATTAACATGTCGTAAACCCTATACTAACAGTTATTAACCTACACTCACTTTCATTATTGTTATGGTTAAGACGAGCTAACACCAGGCCACACTAGCAGCAGCTAAACAAACCTTTTAGAATTAGCATTATGAACACACTGCACTAGAATTAGGCTATTCTCAGACCAATATACTATGTCTGCTAGGCTAACCCCTATACCAACACTATGCTACGATACGCTAGGCTAACCCCTATACCAACACTATGCTACGATACGCTAGGCTAACCCCTATACCAACACTATGCTACGATACGCTAGGCTAACCCCTATACCAACACTATGCTACGATACGCTAGGCTAGCACTAGCCCACAGCTAAACACTGCGTGGGGAAAGGAAGGTACATGTTGCTAAGCTAGTTTACAGTAATAAAAAGGTGCATGTTTCCCCTCTCTATGACTACTAATGATTATGATGGGTGAGGGGAGGAGAGAGGGGTGAGAGAGGGATGGGGGAGAGAGAGGGATGGGGGAGAGAGAGGGATGGGGGAGAGAGAGGGATGGGGGAGAGAGAGGGATGGGGGAGAGAGAGGGATGGGGTGAGAGAGGGATGGGGGAGAGAGAGGGATGATTATGATGGGGAGGGGAGGGGGATGAAGAGAGGAATATTCAGTGTTTATGCATTATTGTTTGGGTTATGGTGTATGACTTTGGAAGGTTCTAATCTGACTGCTATGGAGACAAAGGGCTAGTTTGGAGGGTTCTGATTTGCCATTGGCCTCTAGACAGTAATGGAGTTCAATCTGATTGGTCTAGACAGTGATGTGGTAGAATCTGATTGGTCTAGACAGTGATGTGGTAGAATCTGATTGGTCTAGACAGTGATGTGGTAGGGGCTGCCAGGGATGTGCTGTTCTCCCCACTTCACTACCAGGATGTACTCTCCCTTCTCCTTGAGCTGGTAGCTGATGTTATAGATACGGTTCCCAACGTGCTTCACCAGAACCTCCTCACAGGGAACCCTGGGCCCGTCAACACCCACCAACAGCATGTTACGACCTGGGGGGAGGACAGAACAGGGTTAGCACACACACACTATAACCTGAGAGAGAGATCGAAACAGTCACACGCACACACCTGAGACTAAACACACACCTGCTTTGCTGCAGTCGACGGTGAAGTTGTTCTTCTGGCCGATAAAGCCCTTTGATAGGCCGAGACCCTTGGCTGTCACACAGCTGGCGTCCGTTTGGCTGGGAGCTCCCTGGTGGGAAGAGCTAACCTGGCGAGTCACAGGGTCGACCATGACGCTGGACGTCTCGTGGTTACTATGGCTACTGACCAGCTTGGAGCCTGGTGGAGAGAGACAGAGGTTAGAGTGTAGAGTCTGAGGCTTGATGGTTTTTTTCACTGACATCCCCACTCGGGCTCCCGAGTGGCGCAGCGGTCTAAGGCCCTGCATCTCAGCGGTCTAAGGCCCTGCATCTCAGCGGTCTAAGGCCCTGCATCTCAGTGGTCTAAGGCACTGCATCTCAGCGGTCTAAGGCCCTGCATCTCAGTGGTCTAAGGCACTGCATCTCAGCGGTCTAAGGCACTGCATCTCAGCGGTCTAAGGCACTGCATCTCAGCGGTCTAAGGCACTGCATCTCAGCGGTCTAAGGCACTGCATCTCAGCGGTCTAAGGCACTGCATCTCAGCGGTCTAAGGCACTGCATCTCAGCGGTCTAAGGCACTGCATCTCAGTGCTTGAGGCGTCACTACAGACCCCCTGGTTCGATTCCAGGCTGTATCACAACCGGCCGTGATTGGGAGTCCCATAGGGCGGCGCACAATTGGCCCAGCGTCGTCCGGGTTTGGCCGGTGTAGGCCGTCATTTTAAATAAGAATTTGTTCTTAACTGACTTGCCTAGTTAAATAAAGGTAAAATAAAAAAATTAATACAATGGTTGATAAACGTGTACAGCATGTCGTATGTGTCCTGTCCCTCACCGGTGATCTTGGCCTTGAAGGGGGATCCTACGATGTGGTAAGGTCCTCCGTATCTGATGGAGATTAAGTAGTTTCCTGGAGCCATGGGGGTGTAGGTCACCTTGTAACCCTCCGGACACTCAACACAGTCCATCTTCACCTTGGATGGGCCGTCGATGGTCACCGCCAGGGCCCCGGGCCCCGCCGTACTGGTGTTCACCACAAACTCACAGGCTGTACCTGCAGAGGGTGATGAGAACACTGATCTCTCACAGACACACCCAAACACATTACACCCAGCTGTCAAATACTTCAGAAATCCTTGCAAATAATTTGAGCGTTTGCTTTAGTCTGCCTGGAGTGCCAGATGGTCGGGGTTTGTCATTTTGCGACTTATTCTATTGCCTTATTGAGCCAGCTAAAGCACAGATAAAGTATTTGAAACCCAGGTCTGCAACACGCTCCTCCTCCTCGTTAATCGTACCAGTGGTTCCTCCCTCTAATCCAGCTCCGTATGCGGTCACCATGCCTGGGTCTCCAGCCTGTCCCGTCTCCCCCACCCTGATCTTGAAGGGGCTGCCGGGGATGTGGCTGCCGTTGAACTTCACATCGATCAGGTACAGACCGTTCTCTCTGGGAATGAATCGCACAGCATACTTATCTAGAGGAGAGAGAGAGGAGAGAGGAGAGAGGAGAGAGAGAGGAGAGAGAGAGAGAGAGAGAGATGGAGAGATGGAGAGATTTTGCTGTCAAATGACTGATGTTCGGTTTTTTGGTGTATCCATACATCCGTAGTATTGTGTAGTAGTATTGTGTAATGTAGTAGTATTGTGTAGTGGTAGTATTGTGCAGTGGTAGTGTACTATTGTCTAGTGGTATTGTGTAGTGGAGTATTGTATAGTAGCAGTGTAGTCATATTGTGTAGTGTATTAGTATTGTTGCATAGTAGTAGTGTAGTATTGTGTCATAGTAGTGTATTATCATGTAGTCGTGTAGAAGTAGTGTTTATGGTGTAGTACTGTGTAGTAGTAGTAGTGTAGAATTGTGTAGTAGTAGTGTTTATGGTGTAGTACTGTGTAGTAGTAGTAGTAGTGTAGAATTGTGTAGTAGTAGTAGTGTAGAATTGTTTAATGTAGTAATGTGTAGTATTATTGTGTTGTAGTATTGTTTAGTGTTGCATAGTAGTAGTGCCGTAACAGTGCAGTATTGTGTAGTATTGTGTCGTAGTAGTGTCATATTGTGTAGTATTGTGTCGTAGTGTGTAGTATTGTGTCGTAGTGTGTAGTATTGTGTCGTAGTAGTGCCATAAGTGTCGTAGTGTAGTATTGTGTTGTATTGTGTCATATTGTGTCGTAGTATTGTGTTGTATTGTGTCGTAGTATTGTGTCGTAGTGTGTCGTAGTGTGTAGTATTGTGTTGTAGTGTGTAGTATTGTGTCGTAGTGTGTCGTAGTGTGTAGTATTGTGTCGTAGTAGTGCCATAAGTGTCGTAGTGTAGTATTGTGTTGTATTGTGTCGTAGTGTGTCGTAGTATTGTGTAGTATTGTGTTGTATTGTGTCGTAGTATTGTGTCGTAGTGTGTAGTATTGTGTCGTAGTCTGTAGTATTGTGTAGTATTGTGTCGTAGTGTGTAGTATTGAGTCGTAGTGTGTAGTATTGAGTCGTAGTAGTGTCGTATTGTGTAGCAGTAGTGCCATAAGTGTCGTAGTGCAGTATTGTGTTGTATTGTGTCGTAGTATTGTGTAGTATTGTGTTGTATTGTGTCGTAGTATTGTGTCGTATTGTGTAGTATTGTGTCGTAGTGTGTCGTAGTGTGTAGTATTGAGTCGTAGTAGTGTCGTATTGTGTAGTAGTAGTGCCATAAGTGTCGTAGTGTAGTATTGTGTTGTATTGTGTCGTAGTGTGTCATAGTATTGTGTAGTATTGTGTCGTAGTGTGTAGTATTGTGTCGTAGTGTGTAGTATTGTGTCGTAGTGTGTAGTATTGAGTCGTAGTGTGTAGTATTGAGTCGTAGTGTGTAGTATTGCGTCGTAGTATTGAGTCGTAGTATTGCGTCGTAGTGTGTAGTTTTGAGTCGTAGTGTGTAGTATTGAGTCGTAGTATTGTGTAGTATTGAGTCGTAGTGTGTAGTATTGAGTCGTAGTGTGTAGTATTGTGCTGTAGTGTGTCGTAGTGTAATATTGTGTCGTAGTGTGTAGTAGTGTGTAGTATTGTGTCGTAGTGTAATATTGTGTCGTAGTGTGTAGTATTGTGTAGTATTGAGTCGTAGTGTAATATTGAGTCGTAGTATTGTGTAGTATTGAGTCGTAGTGTGTAGTATTGAGTCGTAGTGTGTAGTATTGAGTCGTAGTGTGTAGTATTGCGTCTTAGTATTGAGTCGTAGTATTGTGTAGTATTGTGTCGTAGTTTTGAGTCGTAGTGTGTAGTATTGAGTCATAGTATTGTGTAGTATTGAGTCGTAGTGTGTAGTATTGAGTCGTAGTATTGTGTAGTATTGAGTCGTAGTGTGTAGTATTGAGTCGTAGTGTGTAGTATTGAGTCGTTGTGTGTAGTATTGAGTCGTAGTATTGTGTAGAATGGTGTCGTAGTGTGTAGTATTGAGTCGTAGTGTGTAGTATTGAGTCGTAGTATTGTGTAGTATTGAGTCGTATTGAGTCGTAGTATTGTGTAGTAGTGGTTACCTTGGTCTAGCTCAGTAACGCAGCAGCCCTCCAGGGCTCCAGATGGGCTGTGGACTTTAGCATCGATCTGTCCCTTCGCTCCATTCAGGCTCACAGCAAAGGATGCTGGGTGGTTGACCTTCAACCCGGACTCCTGCTCAGATATATAACTCACACACTCAACATCACAACACTCAACACCGCAGCTACACATGTCAATCTCTCAACACAACACTGTCACATGTCAATCTGTCAACACAACACTGTCACATGTCAATCTGTCAACACAACACTGTCACATGTCAATCTGTCAACACAACACTGTCACATGTCAATCTGTCAACACTATCACAACTATAAACTGCAATACTAACACATACTCAACATAATAACAATGTAATACTATACAAATACACAACTTACCTGCAGGCGGCTAACGGGTAAAGAAGAGGGTCAGAGAGGTGAAGAACACGACAGAACAAAGAGAGAGAGAGAGAGACAGAGAGAGAGAGAGAGAGAGGGAGAGAGGGAGACAGGGAGAGAGAGAGAGAGAGAGACAGAGACAGAGACAGAGACAGAGACAGAGACAGAGACAGAGAGAGACAGAGACAGAGAGACAGAGAGAGAGACAGAGAGAGAGACAGAGAGAGAGAGACAGAGAGAGACAGAGAGAGAAGAGAGAGAGAGAAGAGATGGGAGAAAAAGAGAGACAGAGAGAAGAGAGAGAGGAAGAGAGAGAGAGACAAAAGAGAAGAGAGAGAGAGAGACAGATAGAAAACAGAAGAGAGAAGGACAGATAGAGAGATAAGACGGAGTAGAGACAGACAGAGAAGAGAGGGGAAGAGGAAGAGAGGAGAAGAGAAGAAGATAGATATGAGAGAGACCATGAACTAAAGAGAGAGATATGAGCAGATAGAGAGATTAGAAGAGGTATACAGAGATAGTATAGAAGAAGAGAGAGATAGATAGTAGAGAGAGAGAGGGGAGAGGAGAGAGATAGAAGAGAGAGAGAGAGAATAGAGAGAGAGAGAGAGAGAGAGAACTGCTCATCCTCTTTAACCCTTTAGTGCCTGGTGGATGATGAGGAGGGAAGGAAGGGAGGGAAGGGGGAGAGGAGAGGGGGGAGGAGTTAGAGGGAGGAGGGAGGGAGGAGGAGAGGGAGGGAGGTGAGAGGGAGGAGGTGAGGGTAGGGGGAGAGCGTGAGGTAGCATTCTTCCTGGTTGGTGTTCTGTCTGGGGGATCAGATAGGAGGGATTTCTAGTGGGAGGGGGAGGGGACTGTTGGGAGCCTTTAGAACGAGGCACGAGAAACACACAGTCCTTTTGTTTCCCACAAACCCTTGCACTTCCCAACAACACAGCAGCACGACCTGACACCTGACCTCCAACCCTCTGAGTGACTGACTAATGACTGCGAAACAGAAACCTGTTGTGATGTTCAGCTATTGCTGTACCTTTACAGAAAACATCCTGTATATGCTCCTTACAGTAAATGCTAGCTACACGCTAGTTACAGTAAATGCTAGCTACACACTACCCCCCCCCCCCCCCCCCCAACAAACAGGCTGCTGCTGCATTGTGGGTAGTGTAGTCCTGGGTGTGTGTGTGTCTCCGAGCCTCACCTGAAGACTGGCAACAGTGAGTCGTCTGGCGTCATCAGAGGGCGACGCCACAGGAACCACGAAGGGACTGTCAGGGATGTGCTCGTCGTTGAAACGGATAGACACCTCATAGTCTCCTGCAACACACGTGTAACAGGGATCAATGTGCTGACTAACAGTGGAGCTTCCTTCTACATGTCCTTACCGGTACTCGATCTCAGATCCTCTGCCTCACAAACACAGGTGACCGCCTGCTTGACAACGTCTTAGCAAATTACACTATAGAAAAAGTACCAACACCATAGCGTGAGTGGAGACATTTCAAGCTGGGAAGTGCGCTTATGAAGTGAACTTCATTACACACACACAAGATAGAATCCCAAACGAAGCGTTAGAAACACACACACACACACACACACCGTATGAAACACATACTAACCTCTTCTTAATAACAATGCTAATGTCGTTGATAATGCTAATTGTGAGGATGATTATCACCGGGGCTCTTGCTAGTGGTTAGATAGCTGTTACCATCCTCAACCCACACACACACCTGACTCCTGGACCATGTAGGACACTCCACTGGATCCGTCCTTCCGGTCCTCGAAGGTGATCTCTGCTTTACTGGGCCCCTCCACCGCGATGCTGAGACCCCCTGCACCCGCCTCCCGCGTCCAGATACTGAACTCAGCTACACACACACACACACACACACACACACACACACACACGATCAGTACGCACACAATGTCAATGTGTGATCCTCACAGTATAGTAACACCAACACACACTTCCATACCTGGTACTCCAGCCTCTGCCCTCTCCAGCCCGGGCCCCCCAGCGCGGACCTTGTGGGCTCCTCCTTCTCCAAGGGGCCCCACTGTGAACTGGAAGGGGCTGCCGGGCACGTGCACGCCCGCGTACTTCACACACACCGTGTGCACGCCGGTCTCCGTGGGAACAAAGCGGATGCAGTAGGTGTTGTTCTCTCCCTCCATGATGTCAGCCTTGTGAACCTGGCCAGACGGACTGGTCACCTGGGCCATCATGTCTGCTATGCTGATCTCTGTTAACACACACACACACACACACACACACACACACACACACACACACACACACACACACACACACACACACACACACACACAGGGTTAACAGCCTTGTGAACCTGGCCAGACGGACTGGTCACCTGGGCCATCATGTTTCCTGATCTGATCAGCATCTACTGGAAGGGAGGAGAGGGTACCTGGGACCACAGAGCCCTGCAGCTGCAAACACACCTGGTATCTTGAGGCTGAGGTCACACTGGCTGCCCACGTTAGCGACGGACGCTGCCCTCTTCTTCCTGGTGATGCTCTCCTTCATCCTCCCTTCTCCGGTCACCTTCACCGTGAACGCACTCCCTACACACACACACACACACACACACACACACACACACACGTTGGTGAAATACACTTTTTTCAAACAATATTTCTTATATTATAATTATTTTTAAATCAAGGACGTCAGGAAACAAGTGAAGTACCTGGTACGTGTTGGTCGGCAAATTTGATGTTGATGATGTAGTTTCCTGGTTCAGTGGGGCAGTAGGTGACCTTACAGGTTCCTTCCTCCTGGTCCTCAGTGTTAATGTCCACCTTACTGGGGCCCTCGATGGACAGACTCAGACCCCCATAGCCTGCAGCAAATCACAGCACACTTCGTTTAAATCACAACATACTTTAAAAAGGACAAGTTTGCTTTTCCACATCCAAATCTTTCTTTTTGATGTAAAAGGAATTTTAAAGGTTTCAGACACTTTATTTGCGATTTCACTTGTTTCTGAGAAACGAAAGACCTGCGCCACTGAGAGCTTTTCTGTTTCCAAAAGGACATACTGGAGTGTTTTTGGCACCTTTGTTCATGGTTTCTTTCAGAGCTCCCTTACTGCACAACAAGGATAAGGAAGTGAATCGCTGGTTGGGGTAAGAAAGTGTCTGGACCCCTCTATAATACGCCATTTACATCAAAAATAGAGATTTGGTGGTAAAAAAGCAGGTCCTCCTTTAAAGTTAAATTATAAAAACAAAAAGGCAATAAAAGAGATGAATAAAATAACAAAATCACCTGATCCTACACCCCCCACTGACCTGCTTCACCTGATCCTACACACACCCCCACTGACCTGCTTCACCTGATCCTACACACACCCCCACTGACCTGCTTCACCTGATCCTACACACACCCCCACTGACCTGCCTCACCTGATCCTACACACACCCCCACAGACCTGCTTCACCTGATCCTACACACACCACACACCCCCACTGACCTGCTTCACCTGATCCTACACACACCCCACACCCCCACTGACCTGCTTCACCTGATCCTACACACCCTCACTGACCTTCACCTGATCCTACACACCCCCACTGACCTGCTTCACCTGATCCTACACACACACCCCCACTGACCTGCTTCACCTGATCCTACACACACACCCCCACTGACCTGCTTCACCTGATCCTACACACCCCCACTGACCTGCTTCGCGTGTGTCGATGATGAACTCAGCGGGTTCAAAGGTTTTGGCCTCGCTGAGGCCCTTGCCAGTCACACGCACCCGGCTGGCGTCGCCGATCTCCGATTGGCTGATCATCACGGCGATGGGGCTGCTGGGAATATGGCGTCCGTTCTTCTTGATGTTCACCAGGTGCTCCCCGATCTCCTTGGGAACAAACGAGATGCCTGACGCACAATGAAATGTTAGAGGAGGTTCTGAGGACCACAATCCGTCTGTCAACTTCAATGATTTGTAACGTTGGTATTGTTCTTCTCTTATGGCTGAGGCAACTCCATGCATTTTACATTTGTCAAATGAAAAAGGAAAGTTGATAGTCTGTTTCCACTAAACACTGACCGACGTGTCCGTTGCGGAGCATCTTGAGGTGGCAGGGTTCCTCTCGGCCGGAGGGCGTGGTCAGAGAGGCTGTAAGCTGACTCAGGTCCAGCTCGCCGATGTCCAATGGGATGTCAGCAGCAGAGCCCACCTTCAGATGGGACATCCTCATAGAGTCATCACCTAGGAGACAGAGGGAATATTATTATTATGGGATGTCAGCAGCAGAGCCCACCTTCAGAGTAATCACCTAGGAGACAGAGAGAGGGCAGGGAGGTTGTTTTTCACTACCTGTGATGCGGGCTGAGAAGGGGCTGCTGGGAGTGTGTGTGTTGCAGTGCGTGGTGTGTATGTGTGTGTTACCTGTGATGCGGGCTGAGAAGGGGCTGCTGGGAGTGTGTGTGTTGCAGTGCGTGGTGTGTATGTGTGTGTTACCTGTGATGCGGGCTGAGAAGGGGCTGCCGGAGATGTGTTTGTCATTGTATTTGACCAGGATGCTGTAGTCTCCAGGTAAAACAGGCAGGTAGGATACGGAACAGGTTCCATCCTGGTTATCCACACAGCTGATGTCGGCTTTAGACGGACCCTCGATGGCCAGAGACAGACCACCTACACACACGATAAAAGTTATCAAATACACTGAGTGTACAAAACATTAGGAACACCTTCCTAATATTGAGTTGCACCCCCTTTTGCCCTCAGAACAGCCTCAATTCGTCGGGGCATAGACTCTACAAAGGTGCCGAAAGCGTTCCACAGGGATGCTGGCCCATGTTGACTCCAATGCTTCCCACAGTTGTGTCAAGTTGGCTGGAAGTCCTTTGGGTGGTGGACCATTCTTGATACACACGGGGAAACTGTTGAGCGTGAAAACCCAGCAGCGTTGCAGTTCTTGACACACTCAAACCGGTGCGCCTGGTACCTACTACCATACCACGTTCAAAGGCACTTAAATAATTTGTCTTGTCCATTCACCCTCAATGGCACACGTACACAATCCATGTCTCAATTGTTTCAAGGTTCCTTCTTTAACCTGTTCCTAATGTTTTGTTCACTCAGTGTAAGAATTACACACCTCATTAGATTTTTCATATTATACTGAACAAAAATAAACATAACATGCAACAATTTCAAAGATTTGAGTTAACAGTTCATATGAGGAAATCAGTCAATTGAAATAAATAAATTAGGCCCTAATCTATGGATTTCACATGACTGGGAATATAGATATGCATCTGTTGGTCACAGATACCTTTAAAAAAAAAAATTGGGCGTGTCCACCATTTGCCTCATTCAGTGCGACATCTCCTTAGCATAGAGTTGATCAGGCTGTTGATTGTGGCCTGTGGAATGTTGTCCCACTCCTCTTCAATGGCTGTGGCCTGTGGAATGTTGTCCCACTCCTCTTCAATGGCTGTGGCCTGTGGAATGTTGTCCCACTCCTCTTCAATGGCTGTGCGAAGTTGCTGGATATTGGCAGGAACTGGAACAGGCTGTCGTACACATCAATCCAGAGCATCCCAAACATGCTCAATGGGTGACATGTCTGGTGAGTATGCAGGCCATGGAAGAACTGGGACATTTCAGCTTCCAGGAATTGTGTACAGATCCTTGAGACATTATCATGCTGAAACATGAGGTGATGGCAGTGGATGAATGGCACGACAATGGGCCTCAGGATCTCGTCACGGTATCTCTGTGCATTCAAATTGCCATGGATAAAATGCAATTGTGTTTATTGTCCGTAGCTTATGGCTGCCCATACCATAACCCCACTGCCACCATGGGGCACTCTGTTCACAACGTTGACATCAGCAAACTGCTCTCTCACATGACGCCACACACGTGGTCTGCGGTTGTGCACAAAATTTGTGCACAAAATTTGAGAGAAATAAGCTTTTTGTGCATATGGACAATTTCTGGGATCTTTTATTTCAGCTCATGAAAGATGGGACCAACACTTTACATGTTACGTTTATATTGTTGTTCAGTGTAGATCACTTTGATTGATTTAAAATGTATTATGGATATTGTGATTGATTTATAATTGAACTACTAATTGTCCTACCCTCTCCTGCGTCCTTGGTGTTGACGGTGAAGACGGCAGGTTTGTTGACGGTCCCGTGGATCAGGCCCGGTCCGTACGCACTGACGTTCCCACTGTTCACATAGTCCACATAGAACTGGAGGGGACTACCTGTTAGAGAGAAGAGAAAGGAGAGAGGGGAGGGGAGAGGAGAGGGGAGAGAGGGGAGAGAGAGGAGAGAGGAGAGAGAGAGAGAGAGAGGGGAGGGGAGAGGAGAGGGGAGAGGAGAGAGGGAGGAGAGAGAGGGAGAGGGAGAGATGAGAGAAGTCACCAATACTGTTAGCCATCACAGGAGAGGTTCTTGGCCAGCTAACGGTCCTAAATATTCTGAAATAGTTTAAACTTTTCCAGAAATATATACTTGAAAGTGGTATTGAGAGAGTAGTATAATTGACTCAAACATATTTAGGTTTAGCTTTCTAAATGAAGATGCATATGTGACTGTTTTATCATAGTTAGCTTGTTGACAGTTAGCGGTTGTTGGTACCAGGGATGTGTATCCCGTCGTATTTGATGTCCATCTCGTGCAGGCCGGCCTCAGTTGGAGCGTATTTAACCGTTACCGTCCCGTCCTTATTGTCTGTGATGTCTGGCTTGGCTGTTTTACCTGACGGCATGCGTACATCGCCTAGGGGAGGAAACAGTAGTTAGACAGGCTAGGTACCTTAGGCTTTCAGTATGTCAGGTGATTTGGGATCATGCTCTTTGCCTGCGTTTTGTAAGCCCTTTAGGGGAATTTCCTCAAAATGGTTAAGAATGGTGATGTCCTCTAATGGTTAAGGATGGTGATTTCCTCTAATGGTTAAGGATGGTGATTTCCTCTAATGGTTAAGGATGGTGATTTCCTCTAATGGTTAAGGATGGTGATTTCCTCTAATGGTTAAGGATGGTGATTTCCTCTAATGGTTAAGGATGGTGATTTCCTCTAATGGTTAAGGATGGTGATTTCCTCTAATGGTTAAGGATGGTGATTTCCTCTAATGGTTAAGGATGGTGATTTCCTCTAATGGTTAAGGATGGTGATTTCCTCTAATGGTTAAGGATGGTGATTTCCTCTAATGGTTAAGGATGGTGATTTCCTCTAATGGTTAAGGTTGGTGATGTCCTCTAATGGTTAAGGATGGTGATGTCCTGACTGGGAAACTAAGACTATCTTGGCGGCCCAACAGCAGGACGGTGTGTGTACCTGTGATCTCTCCTTTTTGGATGGTGAAGGGGATAACCAGGTCAAACGGCCGGAGTCCCGCCACGTCCAAACCGTTCATTCCCATTGGCCGGTCTGTTGCCTAGGAGACAGAGGTCAAAGAATCTGAGGTGAGGAGGGGGAGGGACTGAGGTTTGGGGGTAGGAAGGGTGAGGAGGGGGGGAGGACTGAGGTATGGGGGTAGAAGGGTGAGGAGGGGGGAGGACTGAGGTATGGGGTAGGAAGGGTGTTGGGTGAGGAGGACTGAGGTATGGGGGTAGGAAGGGTGAGGAGGGGGGAGGACTGAGGTATGGGGGAGGAAGGGTGAGGAGGGGGAGGACTGAGGTATGGGGGTAGGAAGGGTGTTGGGTGAGGAGGACTGAGGTATGGGGGTAGGAAGGGTGAGGAGGGGGGGGGACTGAGGTATGGGGGTAGGAAGGGTGAGGAGGGGGAGGACTGAGGTATGGGGGTAGGAAGGGTGAGGAGGGGGGAGGACTGAGGTATGGGGGGTAGGAAGGGTGAGGAGGGGGGAGGACTGAGGTATGGGGTAGGAAGGGTTGTGGGTGAGGAGGCTGAGGTATGGGGGTAGAAGGGTGAGGAGGGGGAGGGACTGAGGTATGGGGTAGTGACGGGTGAGGAGGGGGGGGACTGGGTATGGGGTGGAGGGTGAGAGGGGGGAGGACTGAGTATGGGGGTAGAAGGGTGAGGAGGGGGGAGGGACTGACGGTATGGGGGTAGGAAGGGTGAGGACTGGGTATGGGTAGGAAGGGTGGGACTGAGGTATGGGGTAGGAAGGGGATTGGGTGAGGAGGACTGAGGTATGGGGGTAGGAAGGGTGTTAGTGAGGAGGACTGAGGTATGGGGTAGGAGGGTAAGCGGGGGGGAGGACTGAGGTATGGGTTGTAGGAAGGGTGTTAGTTGAGGAGGACTGAGGTATGGGGGTAGGAAGGGTGAGGAAGGGGGAGGACTGAGGTATGGTGTTGGGTGAGGGATTGAGATACATTGAAGGGTGAGGACTGAGGTATGGGGGTAGGAAGGGTGTTGGTTGAGGAGGACTGAGGTATGGGGTAGGAAGGGTGTTGGGTGAGGAGGACTGAGGTATGGGGGTAGGGAGGGTGTTGGGTGAGGAGGACTGAGGTATGGGGTAGGAAGGGTGAGGAGGGGGGAGGACTGAGGTATGGGGTGGAAGGGTGTGGGTGAGGAGGGACTGAGGTATGGGAGTAAAGGGTAAGGAGGGGGGAGGACTGGAAGGTAGGAAGGGTGAGGGAGGGGGAGGACGAGGTATGGGGGTAGGTAAGGGTGTTGGTGAGGAGGATGAGGTAGGGGGTAGGAAGGGTGAGGAGGGGGAGGATGAGGAAAGGGGGTAGGAAAGGGGAAAAAAGGGGGGGAGGGTGGGTGGGGGTAGGGGGGGGGAGGGGGTTTTAGAGGAAAGGGAGGGGGGGGGGAGGAGGGGGGTTGGGGGGGGGGAAGGGGAAAGGGGGGGGAGGACTAGGTTTGGGGTGGGGGTTTGGGGGGGGGAAGGTTTGGGTTTGGGGGCTGGGGGTTTGGGGGTTTTTTGGGGGGGGGTTGGGGGGGGGTTTGGG